TTTGCAATTGCTGCGTCAACGGGCGCAGCCCTCAGGGAAACCACAGCCAATGCAAGTGTATCATCCTGTCTGGCTGGCCTTCACACACGCACACCAATAAGATCACGCAACCGCTCGCATCTAGCAATTCGGGCAATCCAGAGCTTTACAACTGGGTCGGGTGGTTCCAGACTTCATCAAACTCATTGACTCATATCATGGACGTTTACCGCTCTTCCTCTGCTCACGTCAATGCCTTGTTTGCTGCCAAACCCATGTGCCTTGCTTGCTCCAGCCGGTCAGCTTAACGAGATTCCTTTGCAATTGCGCGTCAACGGGCGCAGCCCTCAGGGAAACCACAGCCAATGCAAGTGTATCATCCTGTCTGGCTGGCCTTCACACACGCACACCAATAAGATCACGCAACCGCTCGCATCTAGCAATTCGGGCAATCCAGAGCTTTACAACTGGGTCGTGTGGTTCCAGACTTCATCAAACTCATTGACTCATATCATGGGCGTTCACCGCTCTTCCTCTGCTCACGTCAATGCCTTGTTTGCTGCCAAACCATGTGCCTTGCTTGCTGCAGCCGGTCAGCTTAACGAGATTCCTTTGCAACTGCGTCAACGGGCGCAGCCCTCAGGGAAACCACAGCCAATGCAAGTGTATCATCCTGTCTGGCTGGCCTTCACACACACACACACACAAACACACCAATAAGATCACGCAACCGCTCGCATCAAGCAATTCGGGCAATCCAGAGTTTTACAACTGGGTCGGGTGGTTCCAGACTTCATCAAACTCATTGACTCATGTCATGGGCGTTCACCGCTCTTCCTCTGCTCACGTCAATGCCTTGTTTGCTGCCAAACCCATGTGCCTTGCTTGCTCCAGCCGGTCAGCTTAACGAGATTCCTTTGCAATTGCTGCGTCAACGGGCGCAGCCCTCAGGGAAACCACAGCCAATGCAAGTGGCCTTCACAGACACACACACAAACACACCAATAAGATCACGCAACCGCTCGCATCAAGCAATTCGGGCAATCCAGAGTTTTACAACTGGGTCGGGTGGTTCCAGACTTCATCAAACTCATTGACTCATGTCATGGGCGTTCACCGCTCTTCCTCTGCTCACGTCAATGCCTTGTTTGCTGCCAAACCCATGTGCCTTGCTTGCTCCAGCCGGTCAGCTTAACGAGATTCCTTTGCAATTGCTGCGTCAACGGGCGCAGCCCTCAGGGAAACCACAGCCAATGCAAGTGTATCATCCTGTCTGGCTGGCCTTCACACACGCACACCAATAAGATCACGCAACCGCTAGCATCAAGCAATTCGGGCAATCCAGAGCTTTACAACTGGGTCGTGTGGTTCCAGACTTCATCAAACTCATTGACTCATATCATGGACGTTCACCGCTCTTCCTCTGCTCACGTCAATGCCTTGCTTGCTGCCAAACCATGTGCCTTGCTTGCTGCAGCCGGTCAGCTTAACGAGATTCCTGTGCAACTGCGTCAACGGGCGCAGCCCTCAGGGAAACCACAGCCAATGCAAGTGTATCATCCTGTCTGGCTGGCCTTCACACACACACACACACAAACACACCAATAAGATCACGCAACCGCTAGCATCAAGCAATTCGGGCAATCCAGAGTTTTACAACTGGGTCGGGTGGTTCCAGACTTCATCAAACTCATTGACTCATATCATGGACGTTCACCGCTCTTCCTCTGCTCACGTCAATGCCTTGCTTGCTGCCAAACCATGTGCCTTGCTTGCTCCAGCCGGTCAGCTTAACGAGATTCCTTTGCAACTGCGTCAACGGGCGCAGCCCTCAGGGAAACCACAGCCAATGCAAGTGTATCATCATGTCTGGCTGGCCTTCACACACACACACAGCAATCGCATCAAACAATTCGGGCAATCCAGAGCTTTACAACTGGGTCGTGTGGTTCCAGACTTCATCAAACTCATTGACTCATGTCATGGGCGTTCACCGCTCTTCTTCTGCTCACGTCAATGCCTTGTTTGCTGCCAAACCCATGTGCCTTGCTTGCTCCAGCCGGTCAGCTTAACGAGATTCCTTTGCAACTGCGTCAACGGGCGCAGCCCTCAGGGAAACCACAGCCAATGCAAGTGTATCATCATGTCTGGCTGGCCTTCACACACACAAAGCAATCGCATCAAACAATTCGGGCAATCCAGAGCTTTACAACTGGGTCGTGTGGTTCCAGACTTCATCAAACTCATTGACTCATGTCATGGGCGTTCACCGCTCTTCTTCTGCTCACGTCAATGCCTTGTTTGCTGCCAAACCCATGTGCCTTGCTTGCTCCAGCCGGTCAGCTTAACGAGATTCCTTTGCAACTGCGTCAACGGGCGCAGCCCTCAGGGAAACCACAGCCAATGCAAGTGTATCATCTTGTCTGGCTGGCCTTCACACACACACACCAAAAAGATCGCGCAACCGCTCCAATCAAGCAAGTCAGCCAATCCTGCTTGAACGGATCGATTCAGTATCCGGTTCCAATTTCAAAAATTAACGCATATGGGAAACGGTTCATATTTAGATTATTTAAGCATACACAGAATATGCCGACCGAACCTCAAGTGAGTCCTTCCACAATCAGGCGACATCCGACTCATTGACTCAGTGGGCACTCACTGCACTTCAACAAACCTCGGGACTGTGTTGCTGGCGACTTTCTGCGGCCACAATTATACAAGGTACCCGCATTTCTCCTGGGGTAAAATACGAGGTATCACTGGGGTATTGCACCCTCTGAGGTAAATCATGGGTATTGCGTCCCTTGAGGTATCACTTCCTTCCGCGGCACGGGCGGCTGGACGGGCTCGATCCAGCGACGTCTTCGGGCGCTTCGGCCTCAGGCTGCGGCTGCCAGCCGACGTAGGCGGTGCCCAGATAGGCCAAGTCCAGCACCAGCTTCACCCGGACCTGAACCCAGATGGCGTCCAAACCGCCTAGATGAAACATAAGCTCTGAAGCATATGTTCATGTACAGCACAATGAATGCGTAATGATAAAACAAAAAATATGTCAAATGCATGCAGGTTACTGTTAATAGGCACTTGTTTGAGTTGCTAGGCCCGAAGCCCATGTATTCAGCCAATCTGGGCTTGGCTGTCTCTGGGGGGATCAGAATAACAAAGTGACCTTGGCTGCTCAAACTGACCGCCAAGACTTTCCCACTTGGGGAATAATGTGGGGTATGGGTCAAAATTAAAGCACAGGGCACCGTAGGTTTTAGTCCTTGTTTCCATTTACCAAGGTTCCAGTTTGGTCACCTGTTTCTGACAACCAGCCGCCATGTCAATGCGTCCTTTACATCGGGCTGCTCCAGTCAGACCCAAAAACACCAACGGGATCTCGGTGCCCGACCATCAGCTGGCCAGCATGGCGGGTGGCATGCCACGGATAAAGGCCATGCGGCGAATGCGGCCAAACGCTGGAGGGACCCGTGGTCTTCGTGAAACGAGGAATCTGCTCAAGCTCGTCGTCCAGCTCACATGAGTGCTGCGGTGACATTGATGGTGGTTTTTGTTTGGGGGCACCTCAATTGTGGTTTCTTTTCAGAAGAAAAGAACATGAAGCCAATCATGTGGGGCACCCTTCCTGAGACAACACGATGGTTCTGATGCCTTGCTGCTTAGGCTCCTCTTACCGATCTAGCTGGTTTAAGAGAGCAGTGTCGCTGTGGTTGTTGCTCTCCTTGTGTGTGTGCGGGTGTGGGGGTTGACTGCTGGATTGGCCATATCGGCCCTTGACGCTGTCGTGGGAAACCACATGCACAATTCTTTCATATGGGCGGGAAAAAACATTCAACTACTCATGCACTTGAACGCAACTACTATGCTAGAGTCTCCCAACAAAATAGCATTAGAGAGCGTGAATTGACAACCACGTGTGCAGCTTAAAGCGAGAACGCGGGTGATGTTTGTTCAGTCCATGGCTGCCTGTCTGAATGCCTATCCTCTTCTTCCAGCACAGCTTGCTAAGCCTGCCGCACGCCATCCTTGAACCATTTGCGGCTGGACTCCCCAAGCTGAAACTTTTGGCATCTAAAGCGCCGCTCGGCACTTGACTTCGTCAACAGAGGCGGGATGAGGCGGGCTTTGCGACGAGTTGAAACGGGTCTAGTTGATTTGATCCTCTGCCCGAGATCATGCCGAAGTCTTTTAGAGGGGCCCGACGTTCTGCATGCACTATGCGCCCTGTGTAGATCATTTGTCTGGGGCGCAGTTTCTTGCAACCATCATATCAAAAGGCTTGAGAAGCATGGCCAACCCCCTGAATGCTACGCGACCAGATAAGTTTAGCCAGTTCCACATTCAGGGGGCAAATCACTTGCTTAGTGCGGTGGCAGGGGGCTCAAATCACCTAATAAAAGATTTAGATGTGAGCTTGTGACAAAATTGGGGATCCATAAAATTGGTTCGCTTCCTGTTGGTTTCCCTTCAAAACTATCCAACAAACGGTACCCGCAACAAACGCTCCCATGTAATACCCTGCGACCCCATCCCCCTACTTGGTTGACGTTGGAAGGGGAGCAAACCAAAATAAGTTTTAGCAGAAAAGTTGGGATTTCCCACTAAACCACAATAAGCAAAACATGTAAAATTTTTCCCAACGACAACCATGACTAAGTCGCAAGTCCAAACAACCTGAAATTGCAACCAACCCTGAGGGCCCTGAGGCAGGTGGGAATGCCACAAAGAATCAAAGAGCACTCTAAACGGGCCCTGGTGCCACTGGAAACAATCTCAAGCTCGAGCTCCAGCCGGGCCTTCTTGCCTGCTGTTCTTTGCCTGACCCAAGAGCCCGTCTGTCAAGTTGGGGGGTCCGGCAGGCACCCTCTAGGTGTCTACCATGATTGCGGCTGTTGTCCCCGAACGAAAAAGGAAACAACAATCAAAAAAACAACGAGTCTCCGTATTCGAATGATCCAAATTTGAAAACCAAACAGCCCCCCCCGTCCCCCCAGATGCAAACCTGGGCTTCGGACCTCCAGAAAGAAGTAGTAGGTGGCCGCCGCGCAGCGCATCTGGCCGCATTCCACCCACCCAACCGCTGGATTTCACCGGAGAAGGGCATCTGGAAGATTGCCATGGACACCAACCAAACCTTCATGAAGACCCTGAAATCTCCGTTTGAGGAAAGGGCATCTCATTCTTTGCTGGTGCGCGCTCTTCATGTTGAGAAGACTGCACCTTGCCTGAACATGGTGGGTAGAAACGGCAAACACCATGGAATTCGCAACGGAGGTCATGCGATGAATTCTCCAAGCATCAGCAGGCAGAAAGCAAGGAAAGTCTCCACAACTTAGTATACCCAGAGTTTCCATTTCCCTGTCTAATAGGTAGCCACCAGCTCTAAAACCCACAAGGAAACTAACTATGACAGTGGCAACTGGGATCTACTAGATTCCGGCGAGTTGATTGTCCACATCGGAACCAACCACATGGAATTAAAACCAATTCCTTCCCGACCTGAGGCTGTTGGTTGGTTCGCCTAACTCTGGTGGATATTGAGAATGAGTCCAGGAACCTCTTTCCAGCCGAATGGTCTTTACAAAAGCTTCAAATGCTAGGAACTCAGGGAGTAAGTTTGTAGTAGGCAACCAAATAAAACCACCAGTAGATAAAACAAAAAGGAACCAAGTGCTACAACTCGGTGGCAAAAGTACTTTGTTTACTTGCCCCAGTTTGATTCCCCCGATTTCCCTCACAGCTTGCCTCGTCCTGGGATGGCCAGGTCTGCATGGAGACCTGAGTGGGTCCGAGGGTCATACCCAACCAATAGCTGCTGCTAGCGCACGCGCGGGTGTCGTTTTAAAGGTTGGACTCCCCACATGGCGGTTTTCCTTCTGGTGTTCCTTTAAAAAGCACAGAACAAGGGGTACCCTCAAACCGGCACACACATATGACTTAAAAATGTATCAATACATTTGGAGATTTCCACAAGGAAATTGGTGAACAATTGGGGTTAATGCCAAAAGTGCTGACTGATGGTTACTCACTATGACTGGAATTCGCAAGGGGGCAGCCTAGTTTACATGATGTTCCATGTGCAAAGGGAAATAGTGAGCACTGGTGAAGTTAACATGTTATGTAATCACGCTGTGCCAAAGCTGACTACCCCGAGGTTGGCATCCTTCAGGGGATATTAAATGTTATGTTGGGCAGCGCCAAGGTCAGACATTCGCCCAAGACTCTTGCAAATCAAAGCGCTGTATTGGCTTTGCACCGCCACAGCCATGAGACAGGCATACAAAAATGCAATGTGACTTTATGTACCCTCCGGTACATGACCGTGGAATCCAGACGGGGTGTCCCTGAGGAATGTAGATCCCCCGAAAGATGAGAGTTGTTGAAGTTCTACAAATAGGGGCAGCAAACGCCGATTCCAAAGACAGATGTTTAGCAACATGGTCTGGCATTGAAAAGGGCCAGCGCGATGCCAAACATGCTGTGGAAAATGCCCTGCCCGCCCAGCCAAAAGGGCATACGCAACAACAATCTGTTGGAATACCCAACCAAACGATACATTAAGAACACATTTGAAACATAAACCAGGAAACTGGTGGGAAACCAACAACTGGGGCCGCACCCTATCCCAACCCAAAATGTTGGTATTTCAAGAACTGAACTGCAGCTCAAGTTGCCAGGATGTCGACACTCCTCAGTGGGGACGGGCGTGATGGTCAGTGGACAGCGAGTTCGCATACCCAGCACATGTTGTTGGGCAAGTCACTAGACATCACAAGTCCAAGGCAGGACTTTCAGCATGGGTGAGCTCGTGAGCTCGTGGGGTCCAGGCCGAAAAGATGGCTTCTCTTTAAGCCACCCTGGCAAAACTAGCTAGCCAACAGCTTGGTCAGCCGCTCATATATGGGTGGCATCAACAGCAGGGCCAACCGCCCTTTTCTCTTTCCATGGAGACATATAAAACATGTAAAGTCACGTACCAAACAAAAGTGCCCTTTTCTCTCGCTGCTAGTCACTCAAGGTCTTTTTGTGTTGGTTGCTCTGGTTTAGTGGTTTATCTTCTTGGTTTCCTTTTAAACCAAACTTGGACGCAACCTTACTTGTTGGACGCCCCCAACTTTGGCCTACATCTGGGAATCACATGTTCTGATTAGCTTCCATATTTAGCCTACATTAGTCCAGCCTGAAATTAAAGCCATGGCCTGAACTCTACTTCGGGACACTATGCAGGTGGTCATTCATGTCCACCAATCACTTCTCCATTAAAACTCATACGCATATGACCCTGGCACAAAAGGGGCAATTGTATCTGTCAGCTGACTTTAAAGCGAAACCCCTCAAAGCCAGAGAAATCTCAGGTCAAAGCATCTGGTGCCACCAGCTGCCCGAAAACTCTGAAAGATCTAAGAAATGAGACCCCACTTAAACCGCCACCAGGCCCATCGAATTTTAGAGACCCCGCTGAATTAAAACGCCCGGCCACGCCCGGCCACCCCGGCCGCCCACCGCACCGCGCCAAAGTTTTCGGCTCGGGCGGCATCTTCGAGAGCCCCGAGACCATCTCGAAGCCGAGGCCCTGGGCGAAGGAGGGCACCGCGCCGAAGACCTCCGAGCCGCATGGCGCGCAGCGCATGCGCGCGTCGCATGCGCGCCCGAGTCGCGCTCGACGCGCGTCGGTTGCATGCGGTGGAAAGAAAGGAGACGACTGAACGGTGGGTTTGGGGGGAACCAAAAAGCCGCTTAGAAGTTGGGCTGTAGATCCAGCCTTCTTGGGATGGGATCCAAGTGGCCACTTGTCATGGGATCCTCTGAAAGTTGGCGTCCAAGTGGCCATCCTTCTCATTGGGGATGTAACATAGTGATCCCATGAGAAGACAAAAAGCTCAAGCTTGCCCTTGCTGAAGTACTCAAAGGAGAACCATGCGGAACCCCACCCCTTTTGTGAGTGACTACCGAGAAGCTTGGGGGGATGCTGTGAGGGTGCATTGGCCGGCTATCCCTGGAGACGCCCAGTGGGCGCTGAGCATGACCTCAACCAAGGTTGAAATGGCCCTCCCTCCCCGCAGTTCACATGAGGCACCTAAGATGTCGGGAAATCCAAGGTTTCGGCCTCACTGGCTCCAATTTAAGGCAAATACTTGAGAGGCAGCTCCAGCTCTCCAAGTCCCTTTTCCCAAGGAAGGAGCCCTGCGGTGCAGGGCTCACGTTTACTCTCGACCCCTTGAGGTTTCCGCAATCCCATGCCTCGGGCAATGTTTCTATTCACAACTTGGGAAAGGACACTCCAAGCAAAGAAGCTTCATGGATAAGCGCGTCCTGCCACTGAATCAGTGAGTTCGTGAACAAGTTTGCCCATAACACCACCTTGAACCAGCCGGAAATAGTGAGGGTTGTCTTCAACCTGAAAGTGCCCAGACTCCCACCACACCCGAGCCTTGCCCCAGACGGGGTACAAGAATTCCGGGGACATGCAGTCCAACGTGCCGCTGTGCCGGTTGTACTCCCCTCAGCTGGCTCCGGACCGTCGCCAGTTGAGTTGCCCGTAAATGGACTTCAAATGGCTGGCCGGAAAATCACACACACACACAAACACATGTGCCCCGTTACCATGTGCGGGACGGCTGGCGACATATTTGACCTTAGGTATGGTTCCTGTATGGCACCCTGCAAATGATCATTAAATGTGAGAGCTCCAACAGGGGCCCAACCTACGTCCCAAGGTCAAGCCTCTGGCACGCCGGCACAAACACCCTCCTTTCCCGACGCAATAACCCCGGCCCTTCCGTGGTGAGGAGGGAAAAGGATACCTTTGTTTTTGGAGGGAAAGCCACGACTGGAGGTTTGAGTCGAACATGGTAGAAAACAAACAACCTGAACCAGCCCGAGCCCTGCTCTATCGATTATGTGAAGTTGTTGTTCGGGCCATCTGCAAATGAATCGAAACCTCGACAAAAAAGGGATGCAATTACTTTGGAGGATGATCCTTTTGTTGCTGCTAGGAGCCAGTAAGGACCATCTCTGTCTAAAACACAACAAGTGCACAAACACGCACACACGCGCAAACACACAAACACGCATTCAGCAGGACACACACACAAACACAAACACAAACACAGAACAACACGCACACAACCGCAAACACACAGACACGCAAGAAGACAAACATACCTGCTTTTTGAGGAAGCAAACACTTGCCCAAATTATTGCAGAAGCTCCCGGATTGCAACCTGGGAAATGGGCTGTCCCTTCCTATGATACTCACACGCCTGGAAGCGTCCTCGTAACTGGTTATTGTTTACACAAACACACAACACACAACCACAACCACAACCACAACCACAACCACAACCGCACACACACACACACTTCAAAACAGGCGATCCCACAGAGAGGGCTGATCCCCTCAAAAAACTACAAGCCAATGTCCTGTGCTCCCCGAGTCCCCCCTGTTTTCCTGCGTGCAGTCCAGGAGGCGGCATCCGCCCCACTCGAAGGTGGTCCAGAGTTGCAACCAGAAGAAGCCCAAGAAGAAGGACCAAATGAACCTCAGCGCGGGCGCCCTTCGGAAATAGCAGCCTATTGGGGTCTAGCCACTTACAGGACTCCCACAATTCAACAAGAACCACCTAAAGCATCACCAAGGGAAACTCACCTTAAATAGGTTGAAAAAGGTGGCGAAATCAAAGCCCGGAAACAGGTTTGGAACCCAAAGGAAAAGATGATTCGTTGCAATTTCGCACCCATGCCGGTTTGTATACTCAATGATCCTTTTGGTCCTAATAGGGATGAGGGCTCGTAGAAGCCTGCTGCTGCAACGATATGAACCGGTTGAAACGGGCCACACGGCTTCGACACTCATAACATGGTTCTTGCACACTGTGATAAGCATGTTGAATTCGGCCTAATCCACAGGACCACACTCCACGAAAGCCCCCAAGGAATCCCTCTTACATCCACTCACTCCCCACTCAACAGAGCCTCCTCTTGATTAATAGAATCCTGATTGATCCGAGCTTGACACCCGGCCATGCTCTTGGCCCTTTTGGTCACATGGAGCTGGAAATCGTTAAGCTGACATGGATTGATCCGGCCAAATGATCCGCACCAATGATCCAGCCATGAGATGGCAGGTATCAGCTCAGGAGCAGCCACTCGAGAATGAGGATTGGTGCCTCGGATGTCCCGACTGCAGTGTGCAGGGTCATTGTTCTGCAAATTGTACAACGTGTCCAAAACCTGAAATCCCGGGTGCCTAGCTAGAGGGCCAGATTTTGGTGAGCTCACTTTATCCCTTAATCGGCGAGTTTGCCGCAAAATGGTCAGACTGATGCGATAACTCGTGGCATGCAGCATGCGCGTGCGCTTGCGAGCATAGTCTGCCTGGCTGGCGAAGGGCCACGAAGCGTCATTTATGGATGATAAAAATCCCACCCCCTACCCACCTGCCCAACGGACAAGCTTGGCACCGGGGGGCAGCCACACATGCTCCTGAGGCACCCTCCTTAACGGCTACAAGTGGGCAGGAGAGAAGTTCAGAAGAATACGATCCTCGTGTCCACTTCCATGATTGTTGCAAAAGGCGTAGCCTTCAAAGAACACTCGTGTACAGCACCACGCTTCAAATCAGAACCCAGGCGCACAAAGCAGCTGAAACTTGAAGTTGCGCTTCAGCCAGGAAAGGCAAGCGGATCGCTGCTGCTTCCACCTCAGTGCCAAGTTGCCAGCTGAACCCGCTGAAGCACAGATTGCCCTCAGGTCAGCTTTGCTCGGATTGGTGGTTTGAAGGTTTGGGGGCGGTTTCCCCGTTCCCCTCTCCAAGCATCAAGGGTTCAAATCCCCAAACCATAAATCCAAACCACCACTTGGGGGGTGCCCGATCCAGTCCGCAGGAAGCAACGCAATCAGATCACGTGTAAGGCAGGCGCTTTTTGGAGCTGGACTGCCTGGCGGCCCATGGCACCCTCGACAAGCTTCATTTAGGCTTCGAAGCAGGGCTTTGGCATTAAAGGGAAGCCACACGGGAACAACCCTTTTAGGGCCCTAGGTTCTACAAACAAGGGGTTCCCTCTTGACTTGCATTCAACAACACCAGGGTCCTTGTTTGAAGACGTGTTTCACACCCAAGAATTGCTTGGAACGCTAAGGCACCCTTCTCGACCGAGGCAGGACTAGACAAAGGACTCGCGTGAACAGAAGCTAAAAGTCTGATGTGTCTGGATTCCCAGTACTTCTCATTTGGTTTCCCTTTTCGTTTTCTTTTCGGTGTCCGCTTAGGCTGCCCATCTTTTTTTGTTTTTACGGTTTCCCTTTGGCCCCCTTCCTTGGACCACCTTGGCCTCCCTTGATTTCAGTAGCATATTTTCACGCAATCCCAGCCCCTTGTCCATGGCTGTATTGGGGATGAGGGACCAGCCAAGATGTAGGAGTTCCATCGGCTTCTTCTAGATCTACTTCAAACGAGCTGGGGGAGCTGAAATCCTTCCTCTTCCCTGCTCCTCCCAACTCTCGGAGATAGCCGAGCGCACTCGGAAAGCGCCGCTGCCCGGGCCCGGGAAAAGGCCTCCGCAGAGCTCGCGCCCCTCACGTGCTACGCGGACCTCAAGGTCTACAGCACGCCCGCCCCGACCGTCCACATAGCGCAGCAGCAGCCAGCGCGCCAGACCGTCGGAGCTGAGGCTGAGGCTCACGCACCACGAGCGGGACAGCGACAAGTTCCACGCCGTCCGCGCCGTGCTGGACGACCTTCTCAAGCTGGCCGACCACTACCTCACCTGGAGACGCCGAACTCGGCCCGTCAGCATGACTCGGCGGGAGGAGCTGGAGCACAGGGCCGCCACTCACTGCAGGGAGTGCCTCGCGTCCTTCGAGACCGCAGAGAAGAAGCTCCACCACTGCCACGGCGCCGGGCGGTCCCTGTTGGCCGCCCCAACTGGCTCATGATAAAGGGAACCTCAGATTATTACACAGGGTGACATCTGGTAGATAGGTTGGAAGGTCTATTATGTCTAGTGTTGACGGAGCCCCGGCAGCTTTGGGCATGGTTCATGCATCAAATTGGGCTGGCTGTAGACATGTTACCAGTAGAATGGGAGGTTATGTCGTGGCAGACTCGGGCGTTGTCGTCAAACGCCCATGCTTACACTGCCTTTTCCATTCAATTTCCTTTGGCCTCCCTTTGGCTTCCCTTTGGCTTCCCTTTGGCTTCCCTTTGGTTTCTCTTTGGCTTCCCTTTGGCTTCCCTTTGGCTTCTCTTGATTTCTGTTTCATGTCGGATTGGTTTCCGCTTGGTTCCCCGTGTTTTCTTTGGCTTCCGTGCGGTTTTCCGTTGGTTCCCCTACGTTCCCACGAGCCAGAAAGTTTGCTCAACCGTCATACAAGTGAGACACTTGTGCCTATCCTGTTGGCACCCTGTTTGGAGCAGCAGCCAAACTCTCCAAGGTATAGAAGGTCCCTGTGAGGGGGTCTCAATGGTGTTGAGTGAGACAATGGCGACCACGGATGAACAAACCTTGAGGAATCGTACTCCTACGGGTGTTCCCCCTAAAAGTGAATGACATTGGGGATTATCCTGCAACCGCGGGTGGACGCGTTATCCACCTCAACAAAGTTCCTTCTAAACTTCCTTTGATCATATGAAAGGGTATCATATTGGCACATTTCGGAAGATTCCGGGCTCCACACTGTGAGGCGTTTGGGACCCATGATTGGAAATTTCGAGAATTTAAATCTCGAGATTCTAGATTTACAGTCACCAAAAGGCAGCAAAACCAGCGTCCATGAGGGGGGGTGTGCATATATAAATAAATATGTATGATCACCCCCCCTTTCCTCTCTTCTAGCTCTCTCTGAGACAGATGACAAGAGAAGGAATAAGCACGCGAGAAAATATGCGCGCGTGTGGTTGGAGAAAAGAAATGCGCCAAAGGCATGGCCCTGTGCGTGAAATGGCGTCTCCGGAGAGCTGAAAGCTAGCCTGTTCGCGGCGTCTGGTCGGAGCGCGGTAGGAGCGCGGTCGGAGCGCGTTCGGAGCGGTCTTGGACCAGTCTCGGAGCGCGCTCGGAGCGCGGGCCCCTTGGCACGGCAACGCGAAGGTTTCGCAAGGATTGAATTGCGTGGCAGGCGCAGCACTATCGCAAGGTCAGGTCCAGATTTCGTGGCAGGCGTGGCACTTTCGCAAAAAATCGAGTTTTGCCAAGCTTGGAATTGCGTGACAGGCGCAGCACTCTCGCAAGGTCATGTACAGATTTCGTGGCAGGCTCAGCACTTTCGCAAGATCACGTGCAGAGATTTCGTGGCAGGCGCCACTTTCGCAAGGTCACGTACAGATTCGTGAGGCGCAGCACTTTCGCAAGGTCAGGTACAGATTTCGTGGCAGGCTCAGCACTTTCGCAAGGTCACGTACAGACTTCGTGGCAGGCGCAGCATTTTCGCAAGGCCAAGTACAGATTTGGTGGCAGGCGCAGCACTTTCGCAAGGTCATGTACAGATTTCGTGGCAGGCTCAGCACTTTCGCAAGATCACACGTACGAATTCGTGCGGCGCAGCACTTTCGCAAGGTCAGGTACAAATTTCGTGGCAGGCGCAGCACTATCGCAAGGTCAGGTCCAGATTTCGTGGCAGGCGTGGCACTTTCGCAAACAATCGAGTTTTGCCAAGCTTGGAATTGCGTGACAGGCGCAGCACTTTCGCAAGGACATGTACAGATTTCGTGGCAGGCTCAGCACTTTCGCAAGATCACGTGCAGAGATTTCGTGGCAGGCGCCACTTTCGCAAGGTCACGTACAGATTCGTGAGGCGCAGCACTTTCGCAAGGTCAGGTACAGATTTCGTGGCAGGCTCAGCACTTTCGCAAGGTCACGTACAGACTTCGTGGCAGGCGCAGCATTTTCGCAAGGCCAAGTACAGATTTGGTGGCAGGCGCAGCACTTTCGCAAGTGCAAGTAAAGATATCGTGGCAGGCGCAGCTCTTTCGCAAGGTCAAGTACAGATTTCGTGGCAGGCGCAGCACTTTAGCAAGGTCAAGTACAGATTTGGTGGCAGGCGCAGCACTTTCGCAAGGTCAAGTAAAGATTTCGTTTCAGGCGCAGCTCTTTCGCAAGGTCCAATACAGATAGAGATAGATAGATAGATACAGATAGATATAGATACAGATAGATAGAAAAATAGATAGATAGACAGACAGGTAGATAGATATATAAAAAGAGGGATACATAGATAGATAGACAGATAAAGAGAGAGATAGATAGATACATAGATAGATAGATAGATAGATAGATAGATGATAGATAGATAGTAGGTAGATAGATAGATAGATAGAGACATAGATGGATAGATAGATAGATTAGATCGACAGATAAATAGATGAGAGAGATAGAGAGATAGATAGATAGATAGCTAGCTAGATAGATAGATAGATAGATAGAAAGATAAAGATAGATAGATAGATAGATAGATAAATAGAAAGAGATGTAGATTCAGATAGAGAGGCAGGTTAGATAGATAGAGAGATTAGACAGATAGATAGAGAGATTAGACAGATAGATAGATAGAGTGATAGATAGATACTTAGGGAAGAGATACTTAGAGTGATAGATAAATGGATAAATACTTAGGTTGATAAAGAAAGAACAACGTAAACAAAAAAGAAAGAACGAAAACAAAGAAAGAAAGAAAGAAAGAAAGACAGAAATAAAGAAAGAAGGGAGGAAGGCAGGACAGAAAGAAAGAAAGAGAGAATGACGAAGAAAAAGAGAAACAGTCAAAAGGAAAATGAAGAGAACAATAATCAAGACAAGAAACAAAAGATGACTATAGTTTTAATATTATTGAAACTTCCGCCCACCGGCTTCGCCGGCTCTACTGGTACCCTTTCCAAATAGGATTTTACTTCAACTAGAATTGGAATATTGAATGTAATTTACTTAGGATATAGTTTTCAAAATGTGTCATGTTCAATTACAGCTTAAATAACCACATGAAGACTAGTTTACCCGAACTCCAACTAATCTTTAACAAAAGAAGCTAGATAGGAGTTGATTCCCAAATATAATCTATGTGGTGACTACCATCCAATTCGAACACAATTCAACTAGCTTTCGGTAATAACAATTAAATAGAGACTACTTCTCAAATATAATTCATACTAAATATGGCTAAACATTTAGAGATTTCTACAAGGAAAATCGAAATACGATTTGTGCTATTTACATTCTGGCCTTGTTGTAGCATGAGAAGGGTCCGACATTAAACTTGTTAGACGGTTTCCAAAAGGAGTTTTCAAGGGAAGCGAGGTTCAAATTCTAAAACCATCTCGAAACGGGGACTCCGGCTAATTTAGTTGTATTTTAAGTTGTATTTGCACAGGAAAAACATTCTATCTCAAAAGGTGGAGGTAGTACAGGGGGGGGGGGACGGTGTGTGAACATACACACATATATGTATAGATATAGACACAAATGTATATATATATATAGTACCCCTAATGATCCTACGCATCTTCAGAAAATACTGTAACATACAGTGCTTTTGAGCAGTACACATGCCTTTGTTTACCTTCCGAAAGAAGGGTCAACATGAGCATAGCTGACATGATGCAAACCGCTAACCAAAAGCACTTGAACGTTTGTCTAACTAATAACTTGAAAGTGTTTCCACTGGATCGGAGCACTTGAAAGTACTTTACCACTGGATGGAAGATTCAAGATTGAAGATTACACAGAAAATTTTCCTGAGAATTGTCAATCCTGGTCAAACCCAAACAACGTTCAAGTTCTTCTAACACTTGAAAGTGCTTTACCACTGGATCGAGGATTTGATATTGAGAAGTGCACAAACAAGAATCATCCATCCTGGTCAACACCTTAAAAACAATAAGAAGGACACAAACAAGTTGTTCTAAAACCTCGGACGCTCCACTTCATTGAAGACTCGTGACGAAAAAATTTCACGGAAAGCTTTCCGAGAATCTTATTGAACAACGAGAGTAGTGGGACAATCCTGGATTGTTTGTTTATTAAAACAAAAAAACTGGGACTCAAGATTCAAGATTCCCAGACAATATTTTCTCAGATTCTTCAATATTGAATCAGAAAACAATTCTCAGAAATTTCGAAGCCACATATGTTTAAAACAAAATCTGGAATTCAAGATTCAAGATGCAAGCAGAAAATAAATTCTCAGATTCTTGAGTCTTGAATTCAGATTTAACACAAAATGTGCGTTGTTCTAATACTCTTGGATGCATTCAATCTCTTTCAGATTGCAGATGCTGATGTCATTGCTTTTATCTTTTATCACATATGTATGCATGCATATCATATATATGTCATCTCTAATTTTGAGACAAAGTCCCAGAAACAAAACAAACATACAACACTGGAAAATACATGTCAAACGCACCAAACCAGGGTCCTTGGGGGGGGGGGGTAGCATATATGTATAGATGTGTATCTATTAGCATAGGGATATTATTCACTCTGTCTCCAGCACTTCACTTTTGGCCAGATGTGTCAAAGCACAGCTTTGTATTCAGTGAGCAGCCTGTGTGGCTCACTGGCGACCCAATCTGATTTCAGATTAGGGCCTGCATTGAAATGGTAGAAACCACAGAAAATGCCCATCTCTGCTCCCCTACCCGCTCTGCGCTCCAGTAAGTTGCTGCTGCAAGGCATCGGCAATGGCTTCAACCAACTGAAAAGGGTACGGCTGAGCAATCAGCGTCATGAAGCGTTTGTCGGGGCCACTGTCCAGACCGAAAACCATAAGGGCTGTGGGCTTCTTCCACTTCTCATTGAATTGGCAGAAATGCAATTTCAAAAGAGTGATGTGCGGCAAATCTAAAAAGGAACGCAATAGGATGCAATAGGGGAGTCTGCCAGCATCTGGATGACCAGGGGTTTTCCAGTACAAATGGAATCCGCAAAGCATAGCAATACCACAAAATACGTCCTGTAAAGAAAAGCACGAGTTTCTGCTGATCCCGTCAGCGGAGGTTGCTCAAACCCATAGGACAAACATCGCTTCGTAGAGGGGGGGGTCCTATTCCGTCGTGACGCCTTGCAATACTGAAAGTAGTACATGGCATGCCCAACCAAACAAATAGAACCCTTCTTTGCACCAACAAAGATACAATGCTCTCCTCGACTTGCGGGTCCAACACATTGTCAGCAGAATTGAGGAGAAAGTCAATGGCATAAGTTCGCATAGAACGCCTCCTGATGGCTCTTGTCAGCCTTCCACAGCCTGCAAAGATCTCAAGAGTGCTCCCGGCCGGCGCGGATTTCCAGTCCTGCCAAAGAGGATCTATGCACTGAACGCTGCGAGCTTCCCCGTGATCACCTCCTCCATCTTCGCCTCCGCTCTCTTGCAGAATTGTATGGCCCTGTATCTTCCCCACCTTGGCGTATCTCCGCACTGGTGTGTCTGTCCGCCAGCGACCCCTCTCCTTCACTACCTGGTACTCCCTGACTCCGCCTAGCAAGTCTTCGGAGGCTCCGCCATGCCGCAGCTGGTAGGTGTGTAAGTCTCCCAAGCCCAGCCAATTGCCTGCAGATTTGAAAGCTGCTCGGTAGCTGTCCTGGTTGAAGTCGAACAAACGCTCGTTTGCCTTCTTGTGTGCCCAAGCGTTGAATCGCTGGCCCCAACCAATTCTTCGTGCTCGGATTGTCCATCGGGATTGCGCTGCTGAAAATTCCCGTCTTGTCCGGCACCCCCTCGTCCTCCTCTCTGACCACCAGGGTATACAGCTGGTACTGCTTGCCAGTCCCCCGAACCGGAGGAACAAGATTGCGAGCGACCAAATCCGCTGCCTCGCCTGGCCTCAGATAGGCATCGAAACTGAGCAAGATCATGAGCGCCTTGTGCCGATGCCAAACACTACTGTCCGCGGCAAAGGCAACCGGCTCCGCGGTGGCATCACCTTCCTCCACCCCCGCAGCGCCCTCCTGCTCCGCATCATTTTGCCCTTGACCGCATGGAAGTAGAACTCGACCGCTGCTAAGGTCTTCTCTCCGGTGTTCACCCCCTGCTCGTCGACCTCCCCGCGCAGAGGCCACACCAATCCGCTCTCCTTGCAAAAGTCCTTGAACCTCCGGAGGTAGCTGGAATACTGCGCCTCCTGCTCTGTGCTGATGCTCCTCTGCTCCAACTCCGTCAAAAGACCCACTTGGGCTCTCCGGCCAGGCGGGGCGACTTTCGTCTTGCCCGCAACTGGCTTTGCCACCACGCTCCGCCTTTCTCGCACAACTCTGTCCACCATTTTCACGCCTCCCTTGGTACCCATGTTGTTTCCGGCTTGCTCCTCCGCCTTGGGAAAAGCGGCGTGTGCCAGGGTCCTCACTTCTGCCTTGCTCTGAGTTAAGGAGGAAGCTCTCGGTCGCTTCTTTGGGTTGGGTCCCTGCGTTGAAATAACCGGCAGCGAGCGAACCTCTCGATGGGGCATCAGCTAAGTTCTTCTCAGATGGAATCCAACGAGCTCGCACTTGTATGTTCGCAGCAAGAAGTATAGACCCAATTTTCTGAGCGACCCGTAGCATGGCATGATTGCACGATCTCCCCTTTCCCAAGCAAAAAGCAAGAGCCAAATTGTCAACCAGAAGCAAATGCGTGCGCCCCCTTTCTATAGAAATATATACCTGTTCTCGCAATTCTTCTTATTGCCAAGACTGCAGTCCGACCTTCTTTCAGGGTAATATGCTCCTTGGTGTGCATCCACTTGCCCGACTTTGCAACGTTCCACCCCTCCAATGAAAGCACCTTGGTGTGCATCCACTTGCCCGACTTTGCAACTTTCCACCCTTTGACTGAAAGCATACTTGAAGGTACCTCCTCAAACTCTTCATTCCTAGTGAATTGGTCAGCCTGCTCTAGCGCCTTGGGGTCGCACCGTGACGTCAGAAAAAGGGTCCAGTTTCAGGGCTCTCTTTCCAAAGCACCATTCGTCAACCGGGCTCCTCTTCTCCCAACTTGCTCCACTTCCCAAATGCCGTATCCCTCCGGTGATGCGTCTGAACATGTAACTGTCTCGCTCCACGGCAACCGCATGTCACCCACCAGTAAAGGCAAAAGCCCCATGAATACGCGACACTCCCTCAGAACTGCAGGTCAAAGGCGCCTCCGTGTGAAACTCTCTGGCGGCCGAAGTCGCAGGCGCTCCGGAAAACTCCCATTCCTGAACGATTCAGTACAAGAGCCACCATGCTGTGCCCCAGTAAGCGCCTCATCAAATCCGAGGAAACAGGATGTTCGAGAAGATATGAGCCGCCACAACCGGTCTGGAGAAGTCTTGACCAATCCACTGCTCCCATCAATTACGCTTCCCAGTGTTGGAAAATAGGTGGTAGCACTGACTTCCTCGTGCACTGAAAAACCGAAATACTCCAATTTAGACTTAAGAGTCCCCTGACCTCGTTGCGCCACCTCCGGGTCTGTTGCAAGCACATGCGTGTTGTCACCCGGCCTTGCATCCAGGGATGGCGGCGGCCTGGAGTCAAGGATGATGGAGTCTGGTTCTTCACATACACTCGAAAGGCAAGCTTGTACATGTAGGGACAGCACCAAATAGAAGCTCCAAGAAAAGCCCATAGGAAGAACATCCAAGCCTTGTGAAATGTAGCTGTCCGGGTAACCTACCTTTTCTTAGCAGGGGCGCTGGCAGGGCCACAGGGCCATTCCTGCGCAAGAACTTTTGGCTCTAAACCGATGATGCTGGCGACGCTTGTCAAAGCCAGTGATGCTTGGTGCTGGCGATGCAAATTTCGCGTGATGCAGATTACGCTGGTGATGCGCAACCAGTTGCTTGGTGCATCTGGCTTGGCGTGGCGTTCTGTCTGTCTGTCTCGCACAAAGTAATTGTTCTGCGGTTGTGACTTTATTGCCTTGTTTGGGGTGGTTTTCGGGTGGAAAGTCAGCCCTGGTTGTGGTGTTTGCCTTCACAGGCAATGTGACTCACAGGTAGTGACTTTTCTGTCTCGCGCGGGGTTGGTTTTCGGGTGGGACAAGTCACTCGGCTTTGGATTTTGCGCCAACGGGCGATGTAACGGAAAGTGAGATTGTTTGCCTCGTTTGGGGTGGCTTTTGGTCGCTTCCCGAAGTGGTTTCTTTTGTCTGGTTTGGGATGGCTTTTGGGTGGAAAAAAGTCACTTCCCGAAGTGGCGTTTTTGTCTGGTTTGAGGTGGCTTTCGGGTGGAAAAAAGGTCGCTTCCCGAAATGACTTTTTTGTCTGGTTTGGGGTGGCTTTCGGGTGGGAAAAAGTCACTTCCCGAAGTGGTTTCTTTTGTCTGGTTTGGGATGGCTTTCGGGTGGAAAAAAGTCACTTCCCGAAGTGGTTTCTTTTGTCTGGTTTGGGATGGCTTTTGGGTGGGAAAAAAAGTCAGTTCCCGAAGTGGCTTTTTTGTCTGGTTTGGGGTGGCTTTCGGGTGGGAAAAAGTCACTTCCCGAAGTGACCTTTTGTCTGGTTTGGGGTGGCTTTCAGGTGGAAAAAAGGTCACTTCCCGAAGTGAATTTTTTGTCTGGTTTGGGGTGGCTTTCGGGTGGGAAAAAGTCACTTCCCGAAGTGGTTTCTTTTGTCTGGTTTGGGATGGCTTTTGGGTGGGAAAAAAAGTCAGTTCCCGAAGTGACTTTTTTGTCTGGTTTGGGGTGGCTTTCGGGTGGAAAAAAGGTCACTTCCCGAAGTGGCTTTTTGTCTGGTTTGGGGTGGCTTTCGGGTGGAAAAGAGTCACTAGGCCACAGCCGTTGTTTTGGCTCTTGCTGCTTCAAATGCAACATGGGTTTGGGTGGGAAGAACACGGGCTTGTGCGGGAAGTCGCCTTTGGGCGGGGTAGGCCCTGAACCTGAAACCAAAAAAGCCGGTCTACGGCAGGTCGCCTTTTAGCCCTTTTGGCGCTCGCCCGCAAAAAGCAGCCTTCCCGCAAGCAAAACGCTTGAGGCAAGGGGGGAGACGAACTGCGCTGACTGCTCTGCCGGCAATTGGCAAGACTGTGTTGAAAGAAGAAAAACTGACAAGAAGCGAGCTGCGACTGGCTCAAATCTATTTCGCTGCCCCAGCCTCACAAGAAGCAATCATGCCACCTGCTGGCCGGAGTTTGGGGCAGGCAGCTACACTGTCTGGCAAACTATGGGACCGTTGGAGGCAGCACCTGCTTCATCACGCACCTACCTGGGTTTGGGTTGCTGTGACCCTAACCCACATGCTATGCGCCCGAATCACGGAAGTGCTTTCCTTGCGGGCAAGCGATTTCGACTGGCGCTCTCAATCCGTCACGATCCGGGCGCTCAAGAGGCAGCCGCAGGCCGGGCAGCATCTCCCAACTTCCAAAATCAGATTGTTTCTAAGTGAGAGCGCCTAGAAAAGAACAGTTGCGGGCCACCAACAGTGACTGGAACAAAAGCCTGAGGCTGAACAGTCTGCGGAAGGAGGTATTGCGAGGTGGATTGTCATTCTAAGGGGTCAACATTAGACAACTACCTGCAACCAGGTAGCAAGGAAGCAACCTACTGTTGGGGTGAGTAGTAACAGCTCAACCAACAAGCTGAACCTGCAACGGCGCAGGTCAGGAAGATGCTCTTGACTGCTGTACTTCCAGCCCTACGCCGCCTACGATCCAAAGGCAAATCGTGCCGGCGAACAAGGAAATGCGGGGCTCGCCGAGCGGAGAGCTTCAAGGACACATGGAAATGGCCTTCGGGAAACGGCTTCTTGTTCCCTAACAGAACTGGAAAAGGACACGTGACAAAAGACATTGTGTGCCACGCCATCATCAAAGCCAGAAAGAATTTCTCCCCGCCCAAAGCACAGATGCTGAACCCAACGCGCGTGAGGTCTCACAGTGGAAGGCACCGCATGATAAACGATCTCAAAACAAGCGGTGTGCCCTCAGACGCAGCCATGGTTTTTGCCCGGATCAAACACAAAAAAACGTTTGACAAATATGGGCAAATGGACCAAGAACAGTCGGGCCAGGTGCTGAACAGAAATGGCCAGTTGAAAAGAACGCTGAAAGCGCTCTACAGCTGAAGCGGCCAAGATGGCCTTCACTTGCTTGATTTGACACAGAGCGGCTGAAAACGGCCGCAATCGTGCTCTCAGCAAGATTCGTTCTTGAAAACTTTTCTGACAACAACTATTCCAGTTGATATTGAACAATTCAGTCTTTGTTAAGGTCCTCTCCCCTTCCTGCTTTGAATCAGAAAAGGGTACCAAAAGAATCCAATGTTTTGCAATAACTTTGGTTTTGGTGCGACTGGTTGTTGGTTCATTTGTTTGTTGTGTCGTTTTCTCCTGGCCGGAGGTGCGCATACGTATGCATATGCGATGTGACAGACACACACATCTATATATATATATATGTGAGGCGTGTTCGAAATTACTTACTTGCGGCTATTTCGCTACTTAGCTTGAGAGCCCCCTATCGTTTTCCAGCATTTTGTGTTTTCTGAGACTTCTCACTCTACAAGAACCTCAAAAAGAAGAAGAGGAGCGAAAAAGAGCCAGGGAGGAAGGAAAGCAGGAAGGAAGGCAGGAAGGCAGGAAGGCAGGAAGGCAGGAAGGCAGGAAGGCAGGAAGGCAGGAAGGCAGGAAGGAAGGAAGGAAGGAAGGAAGGAAGGAAGGAAGGAAGGAAGGAAGGAAGGCAGGAAGGCAGGAAGGCAGGAAGGCAGGAAGGCAGGAAGGCAGGAAGGCAGGAAGGCAGGAAGGCAGGAAGGCAGGAAGGCAGGAAGGCAGGAAGGCAGGAAGGCAGGAAGGCAGGAATGCAGGAAGGCAGGAATGCAGGAAGGCAGGAAGGCAGGAAGGCAGGAAGGCAGGAAGGCAGGAAGGCAGGAAGGCAGGAATGCAGGAAGGCAGGAAGGCAGGAAGGCAGGAAGGCAGGAAGGCAGGAAGGCAGGAAGGCAGGAAGGAAGGCAGGAAGGCAGGAAAGAAAAGGCAGGAAGGCAGGAAAGCAGAAGGCAGGAAGGCAGGAGCAGGAAAGCAGGAAGGAAGGATAGGGGGGGGGGGGGGGACAATAAAATGCAGTAGCGTGAGGTCTGGGTGAATGGGCGGTCTGGCCGTATTTTTGTATTTCGCAGGTATCGTTCGGGCTGGGCCTGCCAAGAGTAGAAAATTCCACCAGCTTCCCTTAGCCCAAGCAACGCCCAAGAAACGGCTATGTGCACATTTCTCGCGCGTGCGCCTCGCAACCCGCGCTGCTGCGCGGCGTCTTGATGGTAGTTGGCTTTGCTGTTCTGACATTCGCACTCACTCGACCCAGCATGCGCAGTTCGTTTGCCACGTTGTGACGGAGCCACGAAAAAGGCGTGCATCCCAAGCAGCGTTCCCAAACAGCGTTCACCAATCTTAGGGCACCCTGCGCAGACAAAATGTAGCAAGAAGGGTAACCACTCACTAAAGCTTGTTGTTGAACAACGCGGGAACAAGGTCCACAAAAAGGCGGGAGTAACTTGCGGGCGTCCCCCAGCAAAAGTAGCCTGTGCAAGCGAGTGCCATTTTCAAATGTGTCGGAGCCCCCGATCCGATTGCAATGGGCGCAAGCATTCTCCTAAAGAGAGAATTGCAACCCCATACGTAAACAAAAAGCTCGTGAGAAAAAACATAACTGCGCCCAAGGGTGTCTTTTTCAGAGTCCCCCATCGTTTGCCGTGGTTTTGTGCATTTCCACAACACCAATGAAACGACAAATTTCAAAACTCAACAGAAATCATTTTGACATGAATTTGCACACACAATATATATATATATATATATGTGTGTGTGTATATGTACATAGATAGATAGATATATATATATATAAAAATGCACTACAAGACACACTGCGAGTGTGTTTTTCCGCGCCGATGCAATCAGACTCAGCATGTGTGAACCCCGATCGATGGCAACAACGCTTTGAACAAACGTTTGAACACGGTCAATGTAAAACTATTGCCAGCCATCTCCGACAGCTTCTTACCACTCACTTCCTGCGGGCAGCGCACATCCGTCTTGCAAATGCCCTGCGCCCGCAGCACCTCGCAGGGGGTGGCATAGCGGCCCTTGTGCACAAGCCACAGCGAGGACGCGTGGGATTTTGTGATCGTTGGGAACTTGTCGTAGGAGATCCGCACGCCGCCAAAGTTCTGCCCGGGAGCCAAGTCAAAAACGTAGGGTTGCCTTGCAATATTCTTCACACCGTTGTTGCGGAGGGTCGTCATCCCCTGGCTCAAGTTCAGCAAGTGCGTGGTGCTGAGCGTGTCAAGGTTCTCCTTTGGCAAGTCACGTTTCGCCAGCACTGAATCCAAGCCCACAGCGGACGTCGCCTTGGGCCATGACCATGGCTTCTGCAATCGGTCCCTTCGAACAGCGACAATGTAGAGCCGCTTCCTGCTTGCCGGGACCTGGCCGTGCGTGTAGCTGTCCAAGACCTTCCAATCCACGTAGTAGCCACCCTTCTTGATCTTGGTGAGCAAGCCAACGATGTCGTCGAAGAGCGGGCGGAACTTGCTGTTGGTGAGCAG